CTAACCAACTTCCTCTGAACCTCAATGAAAATTAAATCTAAACAATACAACTGTCATTCCTCCTAGGATCTACTGTCCCATGTACGAATAATTGCGAATTTCCTCAACAAGCCGCTCTCAGATGAACTCATCAATCGTATTGTAGAGCAGTGCACTTTTAAGGGAATGAAAGAAAATGAGAAGAGCTACAAGACAAGGGACGACGTTCAGAGTTCGCCGTTGTTACGGAAGGGCGTGGTCGGAGGTTGGAAGAGTTACTTCACTCCAGAACTGAATGACAGATTTGAAAAGGAAGTGTTGGGAAAAATAAAAGGAACTGGATTGGAGTTTGATTTTGAGATATAGCGGACAATCATTTGATAAAGGAAACAATACATTTGCTTAGATAGAACTCTTATATTCACTTATAGACTCGAATTTTGGAAATCATTTGTTTAACATTGAGCATTGAGATTGCGCTGTTTTGAGTTCGTGGTTTACCTGCAGTTTTGAGACGATAGAAATAATATCAGTTTCATAATTTATTCATCATTAAAAATTTAATTTTCTGTCTCTGATTGGCTCTAATTTCTTGGCTAGTTCCTTATAACCAGCTGGCGCTGACAATTAAAAAGTTTAAAAGACGTTTGCTTTTATACCCTCGTTGACGACAATGAGGGGATAATGCAAAATTATGGATGACTGATGTCACCCAACAACGCAAATTTTTTGATTGTAACGGTTTACTTTTATTCCTAAGTATTTTTGTTCCTTATACAATGACTTTGATATGACTTTGAATTATTGCCTTTTTCTGGTACATATAGATATTTCAATTATTTCAGTGTCTTTGCATTTGAGGATAAAACCGGCGCAGCCGACAATTCTTTTACGTTCTGATTTATGCGTTATATCCAAGCTACAACTCAACAAGAACGCTCTTAAGCGGCGAGTAAAAAGGGAGAGAGATCGTCCCAAAAGACTTTATAAAATTCTGCTGGAAAACCGTTCGTCCCGGGCTATTTACCCGATTCCATTGTTTTCAGACTCTCTAAGCACTCCGTTGCTGGCAGTAGGCCTTCGCAAGATTCTTTTTGATTATTGCCTAGCTTTGTTTCAGTAACCTCATGGGAAAAAATATTATCATAATCATTGACATCAACACTTGTAGTCGTGTAAAGATGCTCATAGTAGTTTTTTTCCTTCGCCTAGAATCTCTACGTCCTCGGCCGTCGAAAACTTCTTCCCATTTGCGCTTTGGAGGTTACTTTCTGGTTTTACTATTAAAGTGCCGCTTCTCCAGATTATGGAAATATTTTGTATTCTTTTCTCCTTCATTATACCCTTTCACTTTTGATCTAGGAATAGCCCCTTGAGTTTTGTAGGCGATTATTTCTTATATTTGCTGTTTCTTAATTCTGAGTTCAGTCCGTATGTTTTCTTTCACTTTATCTGATACATTACGTTCGTCAAGCTTATTCTCGAGTGCTAAAACTCATGTTCTTCTTCTAACCGATTTTATCTATTTTCCAGACGCCGTTTCCTGGCTGCGACTTAATTTAAAGAGGCTTCTATAATTTTCATTTTGATGGCGTCCCATAATAAAATCTCGTCAACTTCACTCTGGCCTTCTTATTCCTTACACACATCGGCGATAGTTTTTCGTATCAACTCAACGTATTGCGTTTCAGTTAAGGTGACTGGACCCAGTTTTTTGGGGGGGTACCATCCTACTTTGAAGCTCTCTGGTATCCCCTCCTTTACTTTTATCGTAAGTCTAACACATAGAATGGATAACATATAGATCAATTAAGCAATAGACCACACTTTCTATGGGTTTACCGGCGTGATAACCCACGCGGGATGTTGGGAGAACACGAGAAAAGCTTGTAAATCACGAGCCGAAGGCGAGTGATTTACAAGCTTTTCGAGTGTTCTCCCAACATCCCAAGTGGGTTATCACGCCGGTAAACCCATAGAAAGTGTGGTCTATTGCTTTTATAAAATAACTTTTA